ATGCCTTTTCAAGAAGAAGTGGCTTTAACTATTTACGGATGTGGAAGCAACCTCTCCGTCAATCACTTTTTCAATTTTTCAATGGTAAATTGATTGTATTCCTCCTCTCATGTTTTTCAGAAAATAAAAATAGTTTGCATCGCTGATTCTACTGTTCCAATACTTTGTGTTCTTGTCCTCTTTCGGGAATGGTGCAGTGCTTTCGTGTAATCAATAATACTGTTCATCAACAGTACCAAGTCATTTTATGCTCTATGCGATAATCACTATAGAACGTCCAAAATCATCATATTATTTCTCGGCGGTCATATTTTCTCGCGTTAACATATCAAGGTCCCAGGACCTTTCGTTTAAAAGAAAAAAACTAAATTTGATTGAATATGAAAGCTCACTATTTTTAAACAATAAAGTCCTCAGTGAATTTTTTTTTTTTTTTAAAATATGTAGATAACACTAGCCCAACACGCAATATGGAATCAATTCTAAACTTAACCCAGTACTTTTAAAATTGAGCGTCATCGACCATAAAAGGTTTACACGTTAAATGGAGGGCTAAACACGCTTAACACGTTATGAAGTTTTTCTTTTGCCTTCACGCATTCGCGTATAATAAGTTGGGTTTAATTCCGGACTCCAAAACTATCTTTGTTAATAACCTATTTATAAAAGTAGTAGTATTGTAACACACGCACTCTTTAAATCTTAAAGAGCAAGATCTTAAGAAACCTGCTGATAGAGCCTCCATATCTCAGAAAATAAATTTCGCAATGCACAAGTGCATTTGATTAAAAGTTGTTTATTGATCAGGCTCCCACACATCTCGTGTTATGTTACAATAGTGTCAAATTTAACATCTCAGTGAAAAGTGTCGACGAAAGATCACAATGAGTTTATCGTCCGCGATAAGCGTCGAAATAGGAGGCTTTCCCCAAGAAGGGCGCTTCAAGACGTTCTGGCTGCACCGTCTTCCCTCTCCACCTCAAGCGAAAGCGAACGCCTACATGTGCTACCTCCCGAATCTTTCGTGAGCGACCCTCCATTGTCATTGCTGAGGCGCGTTAGGTAGAACTGTCCAATTAAAATTAGAAGACCTCTCTTGAATGAATGAGAGGTCGAATATCATTTAATATTCCCTTGAATATGAGGTTTAAATAATTGATTAATTAAAGCAAGCAGTTAAATAATTAATATTATTTTTGTTCCATACTTACACTTCTTCTAAACGATAAGTTGTTGGACGCTCTAGGCTAGCCAACAGATTTGGCAAATTTCATAGCAAATATATTTGCAGTACACTTTCATTTTAACCGAAAGCCTTGCAAAGTGTTGAAAAGAATGCCAGCGTATATTAATAATATATATATATATATATATATATATATATAAATATATATCCGATATATATATATGCGTTGTGAATACGAAACTTACAACTATTATAAGAAAAATAAATATGCATTGTATCATATAATTTTTCGTTTTAAAATAAAACAGATCTGCAAAAGATAAGCTGCAATGTAAGATCATAAATTATTGTTCCTGATGTTATTATTTAATATTATTATTATTATTTATTATTATTAGAGAATAAAATAGAATTTGCAAGACAATGGATGTTCCTGTTCTTTTTGTATGAGCAGTGATCGTGGGACTTTAAGACAGAGAAAAGCAAAATCCAAGCAGTTCAAATAAGATTCCCTCCGAAATGTTTTAAATCTCTGTACCAAAAATCGATCTCATAAGAAATAAGATATAGATATAGAGAGATAAGTAATGTAATAAATACTAAAAATTATAATAATTCTTGAGATCAACAGAATACGAAGAATGGACGCCAATAGTATCGCATGCATGCTGTCGACCCATGGACTAAAGAGATTTCTCTAAGAAAACGAATAGCAATAATAATTGAAATATAACGATGAAAAAACAAGAAAGGAAGAATAATGTGAAAGAATATTTGTGGAAGACGGTACGCACGTGGTGCCTATTCCTTGAAGTGATTAACTATTATTATACAGTTATACCTATTAACATTTTCATTATTATTATTAATTATTAATTATTCATCATCAATATATTATCATCATATTTATTTAACATTTTTATTACTTTATTATCATCCCAATCAAACGTCATTTTCTGTCACTGGAACAGCCTGGAATCTATAAAGGTATTTTTTTACTGTTCCTGCGAAAGTAGTTTTTAATTTTGTTTCTGCTTGATCATGACTTAGTCAAGTCACCCTCTTAACTTGGCCAAGTCTCTCACTCTTGGAACAAAATGCTCAAATTCCATGAAATGTAAATACTGGTTTATTCACGGAAATAAGTGTTACTTCATGGTGACCGCTAAACAAACGTAATTTTATCGCAAGGCAACTGAACGAGTTAAAAGACTCCACAGGTCGAGCAAACCAAAGGCATTCTTCCTTGGTTAGAGCTTCCAGTGCATTCTGTATCGGGTATTGGCCGTCCAATTAAGACGGCCGACTGCCGCCGTAGTTCGGCGTGTGGGCGTACGCGTGGGACCGCGTGTGTGTGCGCGCCTGCGAATTGCGTTATCCCGGTGCGGGAATCCAACGCCAGATGCCCGGGCGGGGCCCAGTTCTCTGGAGCATTGAGCTGGGCGAGCCGCCGCGCGCGGCGTGGCTTCCTCGTTTTCGCTGGGATAGAAAACACATACGCCCAATCGGCTGTGACGTTTAACGCAAAGCTACATTACAAGCTCTAAATACAACGCGCAAACTCCGGGTTATTGGGCATGCGTGAACTAGTCCTTCGCAGGCACCGCGTGCGGCCCCATGACCAATCAAAAGCTTGAGGAGACGTGGGGGAGCATTTTAACGCTGCGGCCAGCGCTTCGCGCCCGTCATATGTTCCATGGCTTGGAGAAAGTGGTATGGAGGGAAGGCAGAATCTCGCTGACTACAGGTAGGTCCCATTCCCAGGTAGTGCTTTTTGACTTTTTTTTGTGTGAAATTGTAAATTTTAGTTAAGTTGGCTTTTCCCTGTGGCCTTGCTAAAAAGCTAATGAAGTGCAAATCGGAAGTTTGGATATTCCAGTGAATTTTTAGTGGACTCGTGTTTACACAAAAATACAAAATTATGAGCTAATTGTTGGGAAGCGAACAGTACATTATAGTTTCTGGTGGAAAAGCTGAGACAGTTAACTGCCAACCGAAAACAAGAAACGTATGTTTGAATATGCTTTTAATTTCGGAAAAATTTAGTTGCACCACTCGATAAATAACTTACTCAATTTTGGAGGGAAAAAGGTATATAAATCAAACACTTTTTATGCACGCGAAAAACAAGTAAACTGTCTGGAAGTGCACACATAATTCAAACGTAGATATTTAGAAGCATTTGTTACTTCAAGGGTCTATTTTTTATATATGTATATAACTAAAATTTGTCTACTTTGCAACAAACATTATGCACAATCACAACGCAGAATGTAAAGTAAATTCCGCATATATGCATATCATTGGTGTTTCGACATTGCTAACCGTTTAAAAAAATAAACAATAGCGTTTTTTAGAGAAAACATATATTACAAAGTAGCAAATGAAAAAACAACAGCTCTCGACAAAACGAAACGTACAATTCATCAATACTCATATTTAATTGTATTCACGACATTCTATCATGCACACCCACTTAAGGTTATGCAGTCCTAAACACAATTTGGTATTGATACGTAGATAATGAATGATGATGATAATCGATAATAGGGTAATTGCGTTTTTATGAAGTAATACCTCGGGGTTCGTTGGAAGCAAAAAGATTATCAACTGTAATTCCGTAGGCTTTCGCCCGGAGTCTTAATATTCTGGCTTGTCCCGGGATGAGCCGCGATTGGCTACTCAGTCGATTGAGAGACGTTTCGCATGCGGTTGTGGCCTCTTGAAGCTTAAACTGCTCAAAGATACCAGTGATAAAAATAAGTTTCTACAAAGAAAAATATAAAAGTTTAAAGGATACTTTGGCAATGTAACTGGAATCCCCTTTTCAACGTGGATGCATTGTGGTACTGACGTCATCAGTTATAGTTTACGACTTAGCGTACATTTACAACAGATGGTTTTGTGTTGTTGCTCGGGTCGAGGGAGGGTTAACGCCCAAAAAAACGTAATTCTTCCACACTGCAGCTTCTCCCACGCCAGCCCCTCAGTGCAGAATCAATTCAAAATCTCTCAAGCGCATATGACCAATGTAGGCGTGTAATGGACTTTTTCTTCACGTGTAAATTTATTACATAAATTGTTTGTTTTTAGTTCAGCAAAAACAACTATGTTCCAGAATAGTATACGAAGATTAATAAATAAATTAATGATAGAGATATTCAGCAAGACAGCCTGGTATCTAAAAGGAAAACAATCTTTGAAATAAACGTTCACTAGAATAAAATTCGTCTACAGACGAAAACAATGTTTTAGATGTGGTCACTTCTCCTGGTTTCTGAATATGTTTCTTTGCTTATATTCGTGTGATCAAAGTACATCTCCCTTATTTTAATATCAACAACGAATATTTGGAGTCGTCATACATTCCAATGGCAGAGGATGTAAGTAGAACAGCAGTGGATTGGGCCTCTGCATGTTTCACTCATAGTGACCCAACTGTCAGGGAGTAAACTATGTACGTGTTGCGCGTCGATGGCAGGGGGGCCAACACCATGGGAGCCGACTCGCCGCCCGCCCCGCGCAAGGCGGCGCTGTGCTTGCTCTCTGCCTGGCGTTTTGGCGGCGCTGAGCGCTCCCCGTTGCGCGGCCGCGCCGCCTCCTCCACGCCCTCCGCCGCCGCCGCCCGGCTCGCCCGCCCCCGCGCCCTCCTCACCCGGCCCCCGCTGGCGGAGTGGCTGGGTGGCGGGACGGTGGGGGCGGGGGCGAGGAGGCAAGCCGGAGGCCGAGGAGGGCGCGGGGGCGGGCGAGGCGGCGGCGGCGGAGGCGGTGGAGGAGGGCGCGGCACGCGCCACGGGAGCGCTCAGCGCCGCCAACGCCAGGCAGAGCAAGCACAGCGCCGCCGCTGCGCGGGGCGGGCGGCGAGTCGGCTCCATGGTGTTGGCCCCCCTGCACACACGCGCAACACGTGACATGATTACTCCCTGACATTTGGGTCACTATGAAACATGCAGAGGCCAATCCACTGCTTTTCTACTTACATCCTCTGCCTGGAATTTATGACGAGCTCAAAATATTCGTTGTTGATAATTATAAATAAGGAGATGTACTTTGATCACACGAAATATAAGTAAAGAAACATATTGTCAGAAGACAGGAGAAGTGACACATCTAAACATTGTTTTCGTGTAGACGAATTTTATTCTAGGTGGAACCGTTTATTTCAAAGATTGTTTTCCTTTAGATACCGGCTGTCTTGTGAATTATCTCTATTATTAATTATTTATTAATCTTCGTATACTATTCTGAACATAGTTGTTTTGCTGAACTAAAAACAACAATTTATGTTAATAAATTTACACGTGAAGAAACAAGGTGCCAGTTTACACGCCTACATGGTCATATGCGCTTGAGAGATTTTGAATTGATTCTGCCTGAGGGGCGTGTGCGAGGGGAGAAGCGCAGTGTGGGAAGAATTCGTTTTTATTGGGGCTACCCTCCCTCGACGCCGAGCAACAACCAACCATCTGTTGTAATGATGACCGCTAGTCGGAACTATAACTTATATGACTTCAGTAACCACAATGCATCCACGTAGAAAAGGGGATTCGCGGTACATTGCCAAAGGTATCTTTTATAACTTTATATTTTTCTTTTAGAACTATATTTTATCACTGGTATCTTTTGAGCAGTTTAGCTTCAAAGAAGGCCACAACGCGATGGCCGAAACGTCAGCTCAATCGACTGAGTCAGCTCAATCGCGGCTCATCCCGGACAACCAAATATCTAATGACTCCGGCCGCGAAAGCCTACGAATACATTGATATCTTTTTGTTTCCAACGACCTCTCGAGTATTACTTCATCGCAATTACCCTATTATCATTATCATCATCATCATTATCTACGTATCAATACCAAATTTGTGTATTAGGATCTGCATAACTTAAGTGGGGTGGCATGATAGAATGTCGTGAAATACCAATTAAATATGAGTATTGATGAATTGTACGTTCGTTTTTGTCGGAGGCTGTGTTTTTTCATTGTACTTTGTAATATATTTTTTCTCTAAAACAGTCTATTGTATTTTTTTAAACGGTAGCAATTCAAACCAATATATGCATATATGCGGAATATTACTTTACATTCTGCGTTGTGATGTCATAATGTTTGTTGCAAGTAGACAAATTTTAGTTTATACATAATATAAAAATAGACCCTTTGAAGTAACAAATGCTTCTAAATAATCTACGTTTAATTATGTTGCACTTCCAGACAGTTACTTGTCTTTTCGCGTTCATAAAAGTTTTGATTTATATACTTTTCCCTCCAAAATTGAGTAAGTTATTTATCCGAGTGTCACTAAATTTTCCGAAATTAAAAGCATATTTCAAACATACGTTTCTTGTTTCGGTTGCAGTTAACTGTCTCAGCTTTTCCACTCAGAAACTATTAATGGTACTGTTGCTTCCAAATTAGCTCATAATTTGTATTTTGGTGTAAACACGAGTCACTAAAATTCACTGAATATCCAAATTTCCGATTTGCACTTCATTAGCTTTTTAACAGGCCACAGGAAAAGCCAATACTAAAAATACAATTCACACAAAAAATGTCAAAAAGCACTACCTGGGAATGGGACCTACCTGTAGTCAGCGAGATTCTGCCTCACTCCATACACTTCTCCAGCCATGGAACATATGACGGGCGCGAAGCGTGGCCCAGCGTTAAATATGCTCCCCCCACGTCTCCTCAAGCTTTGATGGTCATGGGGGCCGCCGCGGTGCTGTGAAGGACTGTCACGCATGCCAATTAAACCCGGAGTTTCGCGTTGGTATTTAGAGCTTGTAATGTAGCTTGCGTTAACGTCACGCCGATTGGGCGTATGTGTTTTCTATCCCAAAGCGAACGAGGAAGCCACGCGCGCGGCGGTCTCGCCCAGCTCAATGCTCCAGGAACTGGGCCCCGCCCGGGCATCTGGGTTGATTCCGCACCGGATAACGCAATTCGCAGGCGCACACACACACGCGGTCCACGCGTACGCCCACACGCCGGAACTACGGCGGCAGTCGGGCCGTCTTAATGGCGGCCAATTACCCCGATACAGAATCGCACGGAGCTCTTAACAAGGAAGGAATGCCTTGTTTCGCGGACTGTGGAGTCTTTTAACTCGTTCAGTTGCCTTGCGATAAATTACGTTTGTTTAGCGTCACCATGAAGTAACACTTATTTCCGTGAATAACCAGTATTTACTTCAGGAATTTGAGCATTTTTTCCAAGAAGTGAGCACTTGGCCAAGTTAAGAGGGTGACTTGATAAGTCATGATCAGCAGAAACAAATTAAAACTACTTTCGCAGGAACGTAAAAAAATACCTTTATAGATTCAGGCGTCAGTGACGAAAATGGACCGTTTGATTGGGATGATAATAATAGTAATAATAATGATAATAATAATAATGATGATGATGATAATAATAATAATAATAATAATAATAATAATAGTAATAGTAATAACGATAATAATAGTAATCACTTCAAGGAATAGGCACACGTGCCTGTACCGTCTTCACAATATTCTTTCACAATATTCTTCCTTTCTTGTTTTTTCATCGTTATTATTATCATTATTATTGCTATCTTTTCTTAGAAATCTCTTTAGTCCATGGGTCGACAGAGCATTGCCAAATGGAGGATACTATTGCCGTCCATTCTTCGTATTTGTTATCTCCAAGAATATTTATAATTTTTTAGTATTTTATTTACATTACAAATTCCCAGATCTTTTCGGATATCTTAATTTCTTATGAGATCATTTTTGGTACAGATTTAAACATTTCGGAATAATCTTATTTGAACTGCTTGGATTTTGCTTTTCTCTGTCTTTAATTATCCACGATTCACTGCCATACAAAAGAACAGGAACATCCATTGTCTTGCAAAATTCTATTTTTATATCTCTTAATAATAATAATAATAATAATAATAATAATAATAACAATCAGAACAATAATTTATGATCTTACATTGAGCTATATCTTTTGAGATCTGTTTTATTTAAAAACGAAAAATTAATATGAATACAATGATATTAATTTTCTTATAATAGTTGTAAGTTTCGTATTCACAACGCATATATATATAATCGCATATATATATATATATATATATATATATATATATATATATATAATATACGCTGGCATTCTTTTCACACTTGGCAAGGCTTTCGGTTAAAATGAAAGTGTAACTGCAAATATATTTGCTATGAAATCTTGCCAATCTGTTGGCTAGCCTAAGCGTCCAACAACTTTCGTTTAGAGAAGTGTAAGATGGAACAAAAATAATTTAATTATTTAACTGTGCTTTAATTATATCAATTATTTAACCTCATAATCAAGGGAATATAATGATATTCGACTCTCATTCATCAAGAGAGGTTCTTCTAATTTTAATTGGACAGTTGTACCCTAACGCGCCTCAGCAATGACAATGGAGGGTCGCTCACGAAAGATTCGGGAGGTGCACATGTAGGCGTTCGCTTTCGCTTGAGGTGGAGAGGAAGACGGTGCAGAACGTCTGTGAAGGCCCTTCTTGGAAAGCCTCCTATTCGACGCTATCGCCGGACGATAAACTCATTGTGATCTTCGTCGACACTTTCACTTGAGATGTAAATTTGACACTATCGTAACATAACACGAATGTGTGGAGCCTATCAATAAACAACTTTTAATCAAATGCACTTGTGCATTGCGAAAATTTATTTTTCTGAGATATGGAGGCTTATCACAGGTTTCTTTAAGATCTTGCTTCTTTAAGATTTAAAGAGTGCGTGTGTACAATACTACGTACTTTATAAATATATTAACAAGAGATAGTTTTGGAGTCGGAATTTAAACACTTATTATTACGCGAATGCGTGAAGGCAAAAAGAAAAACTTCATTAACGTGTTAACGTGTTAGCCCTGCATTAACGTGTAAACCTTGTATGGTCGATGACGCTCAATTTTTAAAGTACTGGGTTAAGTTAGAATTATTCCATATTGCGTGTTGGGCTAGGTGTTATCTACATATTTAAATCACTGAGGACTTATGTTTAAAAATAGTTGAGCTTTCTATTCAATCAAATTTAGTTTTTTTCTTTAAACGAAAGGTCCTGGGACCTTGATATGTTAACGCGAGAAATATGACACGCGAGAAATAATATTGATGATTTTGGACGTTCTATAGTATATCGCATAGAGGCAGTAAATGACTTGGTAGCTGTTGATGAACAGTATTATTTGATTACACGAAAGCACTGCACCATTCCCGAAAGAGGACAAGAACACAAATTATTGACAGTAGAATCAGCGATGCAAACTATTTTTATTTTCTTGAAAACAGTGAGGAGGAATACCAATTTACCATTGAAAAATTGATAAATGTGATTGACGGAGAGTTGCTTCCACATCCGTAAATAGTTAAAGCACGTCTTCTTGAAAAGCATTTGAGCGATATATTTGTCTCATCTAGTATAACTTGTGTTGTACATGTTTCAAGGATTTACAGATACTCCGCGCGAGCAAATACGCCCCCACTTATTCTATGAGCATCGGAGTGTCAATCGTTTAACAATTCCGATTATTTGTACAAAATAGTTCTTTTCAAGCACGATAAAGTGAAACTAGTGCGCCGCCGCTAATTAGGATGGCTGGAAAGAGCTTTTCCCTCGCTTTGGTCAGAGACTCAAAAAGTAACCGTTTTTCAGCGCATTCTAGCGGATAAACCGCTTTTGAGAAAATTAAAGTTAATATATATATTTTCTCGGAATTTGTATCGACTTCAAGTTTGTAAATAACATTTTTTCACTGAAATAAATAGTTTTGAAGATATAAACAAAAAACTAAAAAACGGACCAAATTTTTAGGTTTTTTGGAATTTTCTCTGTAAAGCCAACTTTTTTTGAGGAGGCAAACATCAAATTCGAATTAATC